TGAGGGCAAGGCTGTGGTCTTTGTTTCCCTGCAGCCCAGTAATCGGACCCCAGCCCAGCACTTTCTGGGACCTTCTATCCAATGCTGAAGTCTTGACATTCTCTAAAGCCGACTTCCTGCTGTCACTGAGGTCTGTCCCAGCCCTCATTATGCAAACTTCTGTGAGGCCATAGCCTCTCGTCCCTTTCTCAGGGCAGTTATAGGACCAACACCCCCTAAGCAACATCTGACCTTGTAGGGTTTTTCTTGGCTTGGGAAGGACTTCCTCAAAGTCATCTCATCCCCCGCCGCCTGCAGGACAGGTGAGAGATTCCTACTTGGCAGATGAGGAAAGGGCTTCAGCAATATTGGGAGACTGGCTCCAGGTCCCCCTGCTGCCTGGGGGTGCAGAGCTGGACACCGTGTCAGGAGGCCTGGAGCCACAGTCTGGGATGCCTGGCTGAGACCCATTTCCTTGGCTTATCCCCAGGGTGTGGGAATGGGTCACCCCCTCCCCTGTCACCTTGGCTTCAGCCAGCCTGGGGCAGGACAGGGCTGGAGGACAAGGGAGGAGGAGAGACCTGGTCTTGGAGCTAGTATGGCACAAATGGGTACCGGAGGAAGCCAGCAGCCAGGCAGCTGACCCAGGGTTGCACAAAGGCCACAGGAGGACATTGTGCCTGCATTGACATCACCAGCGCCCTGGAGGAACAAGCAAAGTTCTCTGGCTCTCACGATGACAGGCGTGGGGGCTGGGAGGAGCCAGGGGCCCCTGCTGCCACCTCCGTGAGTCCCTCCCAGCTACTGGACTGGAAACAAAGCCAAGTCAACAGTTCCTCGAATTGTGTTCCAGCCAGACTGCCCTGCCGGCCCAGAGCTAATAATATTGGCAGATGTAGGTCACACATCTTGCAACTCGATCCTTTGGGCTTGGGTCCCACCTCACCATGTGAGCTTCAGGCGGGCAGTGTAGGATGGGTACAGGCTGAGCTCAGGGTCCTGGGATCCTGGTGCGGCTAGGTCTGGACAGACCCAGGGGTGGCCTAGGTCAGGATAGTGGCCCAGAACGTGGGCAGCCCTTGACACATATAAACTCCGTGGTTGACAGGCTGACAGCCTTAAGGACTGACCCGGGGAGGTCTGTGGGATGATGACAACCATTATTATAAAATTTTTACAAATCATAAAAGTGAAAAGTGCTTTCAGTTGTGGACGAGGGTGGAACCTGGATCTCCATCCTTTGTGCTCAGTGCTTCAGTGCCAAGAAGGGACCAGAGGGAGTTGAGGTCTGTGGGATCCCTGAACCCCAGTGGCAACCGGGCATGGCCTTAGTGTGCAGCCTGAGCACCGCAGACACCATTGTCGCCTGTGTGGCGTTGCGCTGGTGACGTACATGGCTGGCAGCAAAATTTGATGTCCAGGATGCCATCCTCAGTATGCCAGGCCATGTGTTGGCAGCCAGTAGGTGGCAAATCCTGCAGGTGGCCCTAAGGCTCTTGGCCAGGGTAGCACTGGGCAGCCTGACTTCAGAGATGTGTGGTGCCTCCTAGCACAGGACTGAATGCTAGAGGTAGCTTCCTCTTCTGCCCTTTCTGTGACCTCTTCCTTGACCACTGTTCGTGATTCTCATATTGGCCCCTGGTATACCCATGCTTTCTTAGCAACAATTTTTGTTTGCTATTTTGGTACCAGGGATTGAACCCAGGGGTGCTTAACCACCGAGCTACATCTCCAGCCCCTCGCATTTTTAATTCTGAGACAGGATCTCGCTAACTTGTTCAGGGCCTTGCTAAGTTGCTGAGGCTGGCTTTGAACTTGTGATCTTCCTGCTTCAGCCTCCCAGGCTGCTGGGATTACAGGCGTGCAACATGGCGCCCTGTTGCAATAGGAGTTGTGAGACACTTTCCATCCACCTCTGCGGGAAAAGGAAAAGACCCTGCTTAGCATCCATGACACTGGTTACCTCCCTCCAGCTGTCCCTTCAACCCCAACAGGTGCACCTTGGTCTGATGGCCCTAGGTCTGAGTGAGCCCTCCTGGCTCTGGTCCAGTGCACAGAAACAGTCCTCAGGGTAACACTGGCAGAGGAGTCACTGAGGTTGAGAAAACTGCAGGGACAGCCACCAGTGGCCATTCAGAGAAGTGTACTGGAGCCCAGAGGCCCCTTCTGTCTTCCATCTTGTTCCTCCCTCAGCCTCCTTCCTGGAGGCCCCACTTCGTCCAGGCCCTGGGCTCAGCCCTGAACCAGACGGACACGACAGGCCTCCGTCTCTGCAGAGGGGAAGGCGCGGTGAACTGCACAAATTCCTCCAGAGCCACCTGTGAGAGGGCCCTAGAGGGCGGTCTCTGAAGGCGACAGGACTTAGCTGTGCACTGCCCGGGGCAGCAGGATGCTGGTGGAGGGGCAGCGTGGAGCTGGAGGGAAAAAGGGAGAGGAGTCAGAGCAGAGGCTCTGAAGGCCAAGTGCAGCTGGAAAAGGACCTCGCTCGGGGTGACACGTTGGGGGGCGTAGTTCGGGTGGCTGTGTCAGCAAGGGGGAATGGGGCCTGCCCGAGCAGGCTTCTTCTCTCTGGCGTGATAGGCCCACCTGTAAACGGAGGTTGCTGGCATCCTGTGCGGCTCAGGCACCTGTCTCTCGGCCCCATCTGTGTCCATCGGGAAGATGAGAAAATTCAGGTAAGGAAGTGGACTGCACCCGAGTCCCCCGAGGCTTCCACTCAATCCTTCCCTTACCACTTCACTGGGGAACTGCACCCGGCCTCCCAGAGGACAGCCCAGGCAGAGTCTGAGTTGCGACCTGTCCTCCCTGGGGACAGTATAAGCCAAGGTGGTGGAAGAGGGGAGGGAGGACAAGGGTGGCAGTCAGACCTCACTCCCACAGGCAGGGCTCCGACTCTTGGACTCTGGGGGCCGCTGGGCCAAGGCATCCTAGGTAGCCTGCCCTCCTGCCCTTCATTTCCTACCCAACTGGCTGAGGAAGTGACAAGAGGGMGGCCTGGGCCTTGTCCTTGGGGAAATACAGATTTATGAGGGTCTGGGGGGAGTGCCCGCTCCTTCCCCTTCCCATAAGGCTTCCTTGAGGGCAGGGGCAGCTCAGAGATGCTTCTGGGATGAATAACAGAGTGGACAGGAAACCTCCAGGCTGGGAGACCTCTTGGTGACTCCTTTTATTTCACTGTTGCAGGTCACATACCCTGCTCTCCTCCCCCCACTCTGTGCCCACTCGCTGGCACCCCGCCTCAGCACTGTGGCAGCCCATCCCCTTCACCAATGCTCCCTTAGTCAGAGCCCCCAGCCACAGCCTGGAACTGCACAACCCTGCCCCCACCAGTCTTCTGTTCCCTGAGGTCCTTGTCCCTTTTCTCCTCCCCCTCCATATTTCCTCAAGGCAGGGCTGCTCCTCTGCCACCTTTGTGATGTTAGGGTCTGGAAAGGGTCTTGACACCCAGTGTCAGTTAAGCTTTGTTGACAGGACAAGTAACACTTGAAAGGAGCTCACTGCACTAGACACTGTGTAAGTGCTTCATATGGAACCTTGACTCCTCACAGCTACCCCGGGAGGTTGGCCATTTTGCAGATGAGGACATTGAAGTAGAGGGAGGTCAATTGACATGCTCAACTTCACCCAGTAAATGGCTGAGCAGGATGGAACAGGGCCAGCTGGGCACCTGACAGCCGGTCTGCTCTGCTGCCTCCTTGGTTGATGACTCAGGGGTGCTGCCCTGTAGAGCAGGATGGACACCTGTCATTGACAAGAGGAACACCTGCCTGAATGGGCAGTATACCCCAGACTAATGCCCGCTATCCTGTGGCCTTTTCGCCCTTGTCTACTCTTGGGGATGCAGGTCCCCCACCCATTCTATTTGGGAGAGTAGGTGTGACCATCCTTGGCAGTTCATGTTTGCAGAATGATCACTTTGCTCTACGGATCCCCAAGACATGCACAGCTGTTAAAGACCCTTGGGGTCATCTTCCCTCCCCTAAGCCTCAACTTCCTGCTCTGGGAAGTAGGCTTCCTTTGGTATGGGGTCTGGTAGGAATTATGACACTGTGTCCACAGCCCTAGCATCTTAGCATCGTGTGGAGCAATGGTCAGGCCAGGCACATACTCTTCAGCCCTGGGAGCAGCTCCTTCCCTAGACCTGGGCACTATGGGACAAGAAGATAAGCTGGCAGGTCCCTGGAGCCTGGCTGGACTCTGAGGCTTGTTTTGCCACCTGACAGTGGGTGGGACACACTTGTCAAAGCCTCTTTTTGCTGCAAATAGACTGTGTCCCACCCCTTTTGGCTGAGTTGCCCAGAGAGGGTAGGGGATGGGTGGGTGTGTGGGGGGTAGCCCTGGCAATGCCTCTGTCAGCTGTGGTTAACAAGTGGCAGCTAGCAGGCCAGGGCAGGCTGCGGTGACCTCGGGTGGGGACAGCCAATGAGCTCTCAGGCTGTGGTGGCACCACCGGGCAGCCCGCCTGTCTTTGGCTGGTGCAACAGCGGGAGGGGCCTGGGCCCGCCAGTCAGGGCCGCCAGCCCAGTCTCTGGGAGACTGGGGCAGATCTGCCACTCATTCACAGGGAGCCTCCTAGGGCTGCCTCAGTTTCAAGTTTTCCAACCTCCTCAGGATGGCTGAGAAAACTTGGGGAACTTGGCCCATCTTCTGGATCCAAGTGGGCCAGAGCCCCAGGCTGGGGAGAGGGGAGATTCTGGGTATGCTTTGTTCAAGACTTGCAGCTGGCCTGAGGGAACTGGAGGGCTGGGTGGGAAAAGCAGAGGGTGGGGGTCAAGGCCCAAGTGCCCACCCAGGACCAGTGTCAGGGACTCCAGGCTCTGCACCCTTACAGCTACCAAAGTCCCTTATCCTGTGCCTGGGTGGAGCCAGTCCTGAACAGCATTTGTGACCTAAGTGGCTGTCAGCTTGGGCCAGGGGCGAGGGCGAGAGAACTCCTGTGTTGTACAGGCTGGACACTATCAGTAGCAACAGGGGCCTGGTCCTCCCACCTCAGTCCCCTTATTCCACACAGACCCACCACGGCCAGTCACATAATAAACATATATTTATAGATGTACAATTTCAGAATTCTAATTCAAGAAATACAGCTTCTCTGGGGATCCTTTAGGATCTGTTCTTATTGCACATGGCTCAGCCCGTCTAGGTACAGCTACCAAGACCAGACGGTCGGGGTGGTGGGGGCAGAGCACCAGGGCCACCTCGGGTGGGGCACTCTGGCCTGCATCCAGTTCTTATGATCTCTCTGGGCCGGGGAGGCCACTTCATTGCAGGGTGCGAACTTGTTTAAAAACCAGATTTGACATTTCCTTACCAAACTTCCTTTCCCAGCAGGAATCCTATTTGTTGGGGTACTTTTAAAAAAGAGCCAAGATAAACTCGGGGAGGACAGTTGCCACCGCGTGGCTGGCAGCTTGGGGAAGTAAGGCTTTGGAAGATGGCAGGCGCAACACCATGCCCACCACCACAGGAAAGCTCGGGAAGAACGCAATTCCAAAAGGCCCAGTATAAATGTGGGAATAAATAAAACCTCCCTCCTTCCTCTGGCAGCAACTGTTTTGAGAAAAATCCTCATCTGAAGGGGAGGGTAAGAAAAACATTCTGGTTCAGGTGTATCCTTCATCGAGTGTGCACGAGGAGGCCTGGTGCAGCCATGTCCAAGGAGGGTGAAGACAGAGGTGCCCACAGGCACTGACTTTTCTTCATGAGTCAGGCTGCTGCCCTGGGGTCCTGGGCTGACTCTTGGAAGAAGAGTCTTCTGGAGTTCTTGGTGCATGACTTAGGAAAAACCAGTGGCAACGATGGAGCCATGCCCTGTGGCACCTATAAGGCAAAACCCATGTAGGGACCCAGGTGGGGAAGTAGTTAGGTAGAACCTGGCACCTCTCCAAGCCCTGCAGTTCTATGGGCAGGGGACTGGCTGAGGGGCTCCTGGGCACAAGGACAAAGAACCCACCTAAGCTGGCCAAAGGCAGGGGTGGGGCAGCTTGAGTGGGTGCTCCTCACCCCAGCAGGCTGTCTGGGCCTCTACCATGGCTCAATACTGACCTGGTACCCACCCCTAGGGGCAACTTTCTTCCCCCACAGCTGTTCCTCTCCAGCTCAACCATAAATCTGGTGACCTTCAGAAGTTTTCTATGGATTTATACCATCATGATTACTGCTGCCATCAAAAAACAGGCTGGGGCTGCAGGGCAGGGGACATTAAAAGCATTATGACCCAACTTTCCTTATGCCGTCAGCTGTGGCTAATGTCTAGCTTTTGAAGGACCAGGATGCCTTCCCCAAACAGGCCTCGTTTTCTGAAACACAGAGGAAATCATCTGAATAGCTTAACTCAATCCCTGCATAGTTTAAAAAGTAGACTCTATATGTGTGTGTATATATATATATATATATCTTTATATATGCCTACTTACATATAAATAGATATATATACATATACATGCATCTATAAGTTACATTCTATGGAGAGTTTTTTTCCTTCTTTCTTCCTCTCTATCCTTGGCCAATGCCTCTGCCTGGCTTCTCCTGTGAGGTGACTGGTGGTGGCTCCTGAGAGGGGGAGGAGAGGCAGTTGGGCACCCCCTCCCCCAGTCCTTCCCACAGACATTTGCTGCAAGTTTTACATTCTACTTTCGTTGCCATGGTTTCTGTATCCTAGGAGCGAGCTGATGCAGAGCCTCTGCCAGCCCTGGGAGGGAAGGAAGCAGCCCCTGGCAGGTTTTCTGTCTGTCCTAAGAGCTTTCTGCATTTACTGGGTGAGAGAGAGGGCAGTTGTGCAGCGTTCGGCCTCCAATTCCATTTTAATTTTTTCTTTGTATGTCTTTCCTTAAATATACAGTCCATCACCTTGGCTCAGTGCGTGTCACCAAAAGTTCTCCAGGGATTTCATAGTCTGGGGAGGAGAGTGGTTAACAGTCAGCTGGTTAACAGTTACCTCAGCCCATTCAAACAAGCAGCCCGCCTTGCGCAGTGCCCCTGCCCGGCTCAGCCCCCGCTGCAGTGTGCTGCACTCTCTGGAGTCACTAGCAAATGGGCACAGAGTAGAGTCTGCAGCTGAATCTGTGACGAGGGGAGACAGGTAAAGGAGGGGACAAGAAAGATCCCAATACTGAGAAGTCTCTACCGGCTCTGCCTGCATTTCTTCAGGCCTGATGCAAGCTATCTGTCGGGGGCACTGGGAGCAGAGCAGAGCCCACCACTCACATGCAGAGGTGGAGGAGGTGGGTGCCTACTCCCAGCAACTCACATTTTCTCCCACCCCTTCTGTACTGAGTGGATGCATTTGACCATGAACTCATGACCCGTTCCCTTCCTCAGACCACAGGCAAGATGCCTGGGCGGGGCCGGATGCCTGTGGCTTCCAGACACCAGGTGCAGTAACATTGGAGAGAGGGCCTGAAATCCCACCGGAGTGGGGTGTGGTCAGGATGCACAGGCCTCTCCTGCCCACAATCAGGCTGCCCATTCATCTTGTTCCATTTCCTCCTGCCTGGAAGGACGGGGAAGGGAGGGCTCTAGGCCCACCACTCGCACATGGTTCTTCCTGGCATCAGGCAGGCAGTGGGTGTGGGGGCTGTCTTGGGCCCTGTAATATTTGGTGTCCATTTAGGTATTTAACCAGGGCACAGGCAATAGTCAGCTGTACTTGGGAAAGGGTTGGGGTGACTTGATGGTTGGAATAGACAAAAGAGCAACAGCATTGGGCTCCACCACGCAGCCCCAGAACGAGAGACGGAAGTGGGGTGTAGGAGGTAGGGTAGACAATGACTGGACGGTTGAAGGGATCTCAGTTAACAAGCTGGCCCCAGAGCTGTCCTGTCTGTGGGGTCTGGAAGTCAGGCTGGGACAGGGGTCTTTGCCATCACCACCAGGTTTCCTCCCTCCCCACCTCCTCTGCCTCATGACCAAGGCCAAAGCTGCCAGGAGTTGCAGGGCAGAGGCAGCCCTGGCTCATACTTGGACCTGGGTGGTGTGGCTGGCCCAGGACTATCCATGCAGGGAGGCCTGCACCTCTGACAGCCGGCTGCAGCTTGGGGTTCCCATCTTCTGTGCTCTGTGGTACATATCTGTGTCACCAAAGTAGCGGGCCCGGTATAGCAAGCCTTCCTCTGCAAGGTAATGGACAAGGGTTAGGGCACACTCAGTACCTCCTGGAGTCTGCCAGAAGGCCTGCCTGGGCCTGTTGGGGGAAGAAGAAGGTTGGTACGGGCCCAGGAGCTTGGGCAGAGTAGCTTCCCTGGGAGAAGTCCCTGGAGGAACAGACTACGGTCCCCCCCTTGGAGAGGGATGATAGAGGCCCCTTCCCTTAGAATATGGGTGAGGCCATTCAGGGTGAAAGCTTGTTATCTTGGTCAGACTTCCCCAGGGTCCCATAGATAGCCCAGGGWGCACAATCAGTGGGAGGTTAGGAGCTCTCTAATCTGTTTCTACCTACTCATCCCTGGCAGGCAGAATGACAGGCTGATTGCAGTGATTTAAAGGACCTGGAGAAAATCACCAGGTGGCCTGGGTTCTGAGCCCCAGGGGAACACAGGAGAGTCCAGGTCTTGGCTGGGAAGCAGCTGGCACAGGGCAGTACCAGGTGCCAGGCCCATGAAAATGGGTGAGTAGGGCTTTCTCCTTCCCCTGTTCTCCAGCTTTGTGATCAGCCACACTCCCAGTCTGTCGCTCGTACACACACACACACACACACACACACACACACACACACACACTTACTTTGCTGCTTCTCCTTCCAACAGTTATTTCGGAGGTTGGCGATATAATCATCTTCCACATTCCGTTCAACTGTTTTGAGGCTGGAGCCTGTGTACTCCTCAGAGAAGGTCTCCGCCACATAGTAGACGACGCTCAGGTGCTCTGTGACTCGTCTGTGGACATGGCCCACTGACCTGGCCAGAAATATACCAGTGCAAAGTGGACCTAGGGGCCAGGCTCAGGGAAGCTCAAGGGATGGTGGAGCCTACTTTGGGAGGTACCGCCAGCTACAGGAGTAGCTGATTCCCTTCCACTCTGCAGCAGGAACTCATGTGCTCCCCCAAACAAACGTCTCCAGCAAAGGCAGAGTGTCCCTGCCACATAGACAACCAGCATACAGCAAGCCTTTCCTCTAAGCACAATTGACCCATGGTCTTTGGGGAAAAGCCCTTCCTGAGAAGCTATAATCTGTGACACTGGAGAGGTAGTGTGCTTCCATTTTCCCATCCGTTCCCTAAACACATCAATGCCCACAGCCTGCCTGCCTCTACAGGAGCTTCCAGTCTAAGGTTTAGATTCTTAGGGATAGGGCTGGGGCTGTAGTCCAGTGGCAGATGTGGCACCTGTGAGGCACTGGGTTTGATCCTTAGCACAACATAAAAATAATAAATAAAGGTATGCTGTCCATTTACAACTACAAAAAAATAAAAATAATAAAAAAAGATTTTTTKGGGACAAAAATAATAGGGCTGGGGGTACTGTGCAGTGGTAGAATGTGTGCTTAGTGTGTGAAAGGCAAGAGGTTCAATTCCCAGTACCAAAACAAAAAACTCACAGGAACAAAATATGATAGAAAAGATTCCAAGGAGTTGTATCCTTCCAGCCCCAATCATGGGCTCTGTAGGCTGCAGGGAGAACAGCCCCTGCCTATCCTATAGAAGCACCTCATCTTTCCAGCTGCAGGGAAGGGGCTGGCATCTGGCCACTTGGAGCCTGAGCCAGCTACCATGGGTTCACTGAGTGAATTCTGCCCTCTACTGGCTGCAATGAAGCCTGCAACCCCCTGCCTTCAGGCCAGAGGGCGGTGCTGGGTAGGAGCAGGGGGCTTCAAGAAATAGAAGTTAAGTATCCACGATGTATGAGACATTATGCCAAGACTGAGAAGAGAGAGGGGAGTGGACATTTTTTTAAAATATATATATTTACTTTTTAGTTGTAGTTGGACACAATACCTTTATTTTATTTATTGTTAATGGTGCTGAGGATCAAACCCAAGGCCTCCCTGTGCTAGGCAAGTGCTCTAACGCTGAGCCCCAGCCCTAGTCCGGGAGTGGAAATCTTAAAGGGTCAACTAACCTACCAACCTCACTACTGGCAGGTGAGACCAAGTATTTACTTGAAAACATTAAGCATTTATAATGAGCCAGATATTTAATGTGTATTACCCATTAATTTTCTCAAGTGGGTAGATGCTGCTATTCCCATTTTATGGACGAGGAAACTATGGTTATGCATCTAGGTTCACAACTCTCAGTGGAGAAGATGGGGTTCAAAACTACCCTTGCACTGAGTCTAGGGTCCCTGTCCTTTCCATGGCTGTCAGGGCCTCAACCAGCATCTAAGAGCAGAGGTTATTTCAGGGTCAGCAGGTAAGATGGGGAAGGAGGAGCCATGAAGTCTCTGAAATCACATGTCAAAATCTGCGTGTGCATTGAGGGAACAGGTCTGATGCTTTCACCGCATTTTCTTTCTTTTGGTGATGGGGATGAAACCCAGGGTCTTTACCACTGTACTTTATCCCTAATCCTTTTTATTTTTTATTCTGAGGCAAGTCCTCACTATGTAGCTGAGAGTCTAGCCAAGTTGATGAGTCTGGCCTTGAACTTAGGATCCTCCTGCCTCAGCTTCCTGAGTCGCTGGGATTATAGGTGTGGGTCACTATGCCCAGCTTTTACTGCATTTTCTTAGGGGGCTATGTTCCTAAAAAAAAAAAAAAAAATTCAGAGGCTCAGATCAACAGAAACAGTCTATTTTCTTGATTACGAATCACTTTTTTGTGTTGTGATGGAGAACTTGCTGGATCGGGATGCTAAACGCAGGAAGGCCCCTAATAAGGGTTGAGACTCCAAAGCCCTTGTCTGCCCATCGCCCCCCGCCTGAATCCAGTACTCACGGTCTTGGGCTCAGACTGTAGGGTGGACTGGAGACCATGAGCTGGCTGAGAGCTGACACGAGGATCAGGATGAGGATGGGCATCAGTTGGACAAAGACCCCTAGCCCGCCCTGGAGGGAAAAGTCAACCATTATGCCGCTGGTCACCATCACTACCAGCTCCTCTAACACAATGAAGCCCAGTGGTTATGACACCACACTCTCCTCCAAATACAGGTCCAAAATAAAAAAGCTCCTCCACCCGGCAGCTTTCCCAGATAAAAACAAAGCAGTCACCAGAGAGAGCAAGGTAACGTGCCATGACTTGTGAGAAAATACCAACAAATCAGCACAAGGGGCTGCCTCTGAAAACAGGAGGTAGGGCCAAGGGAGGCTGCACTATGTATACTTTTCTGAAAAATTTCTTTCATTTTTTGGGGGGGCGTGGATACTGGGGATCTAGCCCAGGGGCAATTTTCCACTGAGCCACATCCTCACTCTTTTTATTTTTAACTTCTGAGATAAGGCCTTGCAAAGTTGCTTAGGGCCTCACTAAGTCACTGAGGCTGGCCTTCATCTTGCAATACCTGCCCCAGGCTCTGGTGTAGCTGGGACACTTATAGTTTTTATGTACATTTCAAGAGTGCTGAAAAGCACCTATGTTGGCTTTCGTTATAATTCTCTCACCAAGTCTAGCTCTCCCTTCCTTGGAAAATGTTACTTTTGCCTTATGAACAAGAGGGCTGCACAAAAGCTATTCACGCTTGACTCTGTCTGCAGGGGAGAAGTTTCCCCAGGTAGGCTTCACACCGCCTTTCCTGTGGGCAACGGGGAGGGAGAGCAACTGGGGGGGGCCTGGACTCCCTGCTCTTCTAGCCCCTGCTTCACTCACGTCACCCTGGTTCTCCCTGCGGTCCTGCCTTTGCTGGTAGGTATAGCGCATGCGGCCATTGCTGTACACGTGGACGTTACCTGAGGGTCAGAAGAACTGAGTTAGAAGCTGGGGTTGCTGGGAAAGGGAGGGGTGGACCCAGTCTCCCATCATCACTCCCAGGGAGACCTGGCTGTGGGAAGGGGAAGGAACTTACTAGAAGGGAAGCCACCACCAAAGAACATGTTGAAGAGGTCTTCAGGGGAGATGTCAGCCTCAAAGCCACGGTGGAAGTCCCCATGCCCGTGGCCGTGTCGGGCTGCCTGGTTCTTGTCATCACCAAACTGGTCATACTGTTTCCTTTTCTCCGGGTTGCTAAGTACCGCATATGCCGTGCCAATGGCTGGAGAGGGAACGGAAGGCAGGGCTGAGGGGCAGATGTGGTGGGGCTGCCACGAAGCCCAGTGCTCACTTTTTTCAGGGGCTGAGGAGGGGCTTTAGGGAACAGAAGTCTGTGGGGCTGCAGGAAGCCTGCCGGCTGGGCACCTGTGGGGAAGGGGTGTGGGCAGCCTGGAGGGCCTGGCGGGCTGACACTGGGACTCCTGGCTTTCCTCGGGGTGACACTGGTGGAGCGAGGTCCTTTCTAGGTATGTCTCCATTACTTTGAATAGCAGCCCTGCCTGCATTTTACCAACGAGAGAAGTGGGGCTCAGGGAAGTGAAGTGACTCACCCAGCTCTGAGGACTCTGAGCCGGGAGTCAAAGCCAAGTGTCTTGCTTCAAGCTTTCACACTGACCTTATTATTTTTTTGATTTGTTCTCTTTAGAGGTACATGACAGTAGAGTACATTTTGACATATTATACATACATGGAGTATAACTCACTCTAATTAGGATTCTCACTGATCTTTTGAAACCACCAAAGCCCCTCTTTCCTCCTTCTTCTCCCCCGAGGTGCCCAAGGGGCAGGGCATCCTTTTCTGGTGGTAATATATTTTTGAAGTCATAGTGACCAAATGGACACAGTAAGTCCTTGTAAACTGGAAAGCGGTGAGAAGCGCTTGCAAGGGCCAAATCCTTGGGGTCTGGTTGAGACTCCTTTGCCGTTGGTGGTATGGCAGGGGGTGAGCCCTTGATTCCTGGAGTCCAGAGCCTAGCCACTGTTTCCTTCCTGGCCCTGAGGCCTCCTCAGCAGAGCTCCCTGGGTGAGAAGCCTGTGTTCACAAGACCTGCAGCTCTGGATTCTCCTCAGTCTCCTTGCTTCTCTTCCTCCTCCTCCAGCTGCCCAGTTGCTAGGAACAATGGCCTCAGCTGCATCTGCTTCACAGCCTGCAACCCCCTGGGAAGGAGGAGGGTGGAGTCTTCCTCTCCCCCCTCCTACCATTTCACAAGGCCCCAGCACTAGGTCTGGCCTCTCAGTCCCCATCTGAGCTGGCTGCAGGAGCACTCAGGGATGGAGACACATCACCCATGGCCACCTTGCCGCCCCACTCCCACTATCCTCTTTGCCGCCCCACTCCCACTCTCCTCTTTGCCGCCCCACTCCCACTCTCCTCCTTCCCCTGGGGCAGGCCCCTGGGAGATGGTGTGCCAGGTCTGCTCTGGCATAGGCTCCCCAACTGACTATGGTCTTGACTCAGAACTTACTGACTTTATTTTTGAACCCAGGGGTGCTTAACTACTATGCCACATCCCCAGCCCATTTTTCTTTTTTGAGATAGGGTCTCACTAAATTGCTTAGGGCCTTGTTAAGTTGCTGAGGCTGTCTTGAACTTGTGATCCTCCTGCTTCAGTCTCCAGAATCGCTGGGATTTCAGGAGTGCACCACCAAGTCTGGCTTGGCCCCAGTACTGACAGCACAGCACCAGGTGGGGCTGGTCACCACGCTCTTCAGAGAGAAGGAACAACGGGGTAATGAGAAACTGCAGTATCCCAACACAGGGCTGGCCTGGAGTCAGTGCGCATGTGTGCTTCATAGGTTAAATGAAAATCTAAATGAATAATGATTCTGGCCAGAGGTGACATACCCCACTGTGGAATTCAATGGGCTCTGAGGACAGAAAGGCCATCATGCCCCCACTGTAGGCCCTCAAGATGAGTGTGTGTGTGTGTGTGTGTGTGTGTGTGTGTGTGTGTAGTTGGCTGTGGCTGCTGGTACTGAAGCCACCAGGTCAGAGGCCTCTTCCCTCAGCACAGGGAAGCTGTTACCATAGGAAGCTGCTCCTACCCCAGTCAATGTGTGACCTTATAGAAACTACTAGAATTCTCTTACTTCTATAAAACATGGGACGACAAAGGGGAAGCAGAATGGAACTATATAAGTTCTAAAAAACGACCTGGCTAGAGGTGGCTACTGTGACCTCAGGAAGCAGCTCTGGAGCCTGTGGAAGGGAGCCCGAGATCACTTCGTTCTGCCCACCCCCTTACTGGGAAAGCTGTCTTGGCCCTGTGTTCCAGGGACAGAAGATAAAAGTACCAAAGTGCCAGGGTGCCAGGGCTAGCTCACCTTTGAAAGCTTCRGTGGCACCAGGTGCGTGGTTCTTGTCAGGGTGGAATTTGAGGGCCAACTTGCGGTAGGCCTTCTTCAGGTCCTCATCTGAGGCTCCTCGGCTCACCCCCAGGATCTCGTAGTAATCCTTACACTGCTTGACCCTGGGGGATGGAGAAGAGCGGGAGTGGGTGCCCTCTGAGGGCTCAGAGCCATGAGGTAAGGTGGGAGAAGAACAGGCAGCAATGGGCATCCAGGTCTGAGCACCACCCCCCAGGGAAGCAGAGCATGGTCAGTGGTTCCTCTGGGTCAGCCGTCTGACTTCAGAGACTGGGGAGTTCCAGCTGGGGTGGGGAGCTGGGTGGGGCCCTCTGGAAACACCGAGAATACACTTAGGACTTGGGAGGGGCAGCTGCTGTCTTTGGCCAGGCGAGCGTCAATCTCCCTTCTGCTAACAACTCCCCCGCTGGAGGCTACCTTGGAAGGACTGTCAATATCTGTCATCCAAGGGCAGGTGTGTCCTGAGCTCAGCCAACTGTACTCTCTTGGCAATTGGAATTCTGGAGTGGGAACATAAAGGCCAGCAATGGCAGGTGCCCATTTACCCGAGGAACTGGGCACTGAAGAAACCCTATTTCTGTCCTATCAATTCTTACTTTCTGGGTCCCCAAAGGTCCTTGGTCTTGGCTTTCTCTAAGCATTCCAGCTCCTCCTGCGTTAGTCTCTATTGCTTTTGATTAGGCTTGTCTGGTTAAACCCTTGCCTGGTTTATAGTAAACTATAGTCATGCTTGGTCACTRCAGGCTGAGCCCCTGTCCCAGCTTGCTAGGAGGCAGAAGCACCACCCCACCTGAGGCAAGCTGGTGGGGAGAGTGAGGCTGGAGGCTCTGTCCTGAGAAACCTTGCCGAATGGTCTGCGGCCTGGCAGTGAGCTGCTCTGCACAGGGCCTGCCCCTTGGAGGCATAACTCCACTTTTGCCTCCACTTCACCCCATGGGATCTGTCTAGAAGGTCTTTGTTGGGGATGAGGGTGTGGGTGGGGGAGAATCTGGAGAGACCAGGCTTCAATCTGTGTAACAAACAGCTTCTAGAGAGGCCTGGGCCCTCCTGGCCAGTGGCAGGGGAAGATGACAGTCAGCATTTCCAGGCTCTGTGTGGGCCGTCTGGGGGTGGGGCAGACAATGGGGCCCTGGCTTCCATACATTTTAGGGCTTTGTGGGAAATAAGGCTGAACCTTTTCCGACCTCCAAGACCTTCCCAGGCCCCATCCAGGCCCTGGACAGAAGTGAGAGACGGCTTGAGGAAGCCCTCCCTGGCAGGAAGTGTCCCCAGTACCCACAGGCTGGCGCGCAGGCCTCTACCTTCTCACTGCTGCCACCTGCTCTGCAGTGTAGCCTTTACTGCTCTCTCCTCCTCCAGCTTCACCGTTGGCCGAGGGGGTGTCGGTCGCACCTGCTTTCCTGTGGGTGGTGTGGGTTGCTTCTGTGGGTGGGGGTTGGTCACTGGCAGACTGTGGTTTCTGGTTTAGGGACTCGATCAGAGCTGCGCAAGGAAAGAAACCATTGGGGGCTCCTGCTCAGCAGGGCTGCAGCCTCCTGTCCCCAGGGAGAGACCAGCACCCTGCATCCCACCCGCTGCCCTCCCGGCAAAGCTCGACGTCCTTTCCCTTCTCAGCCAGTGGGTGCTGGTGAACAGCTGCCTGCGCTTAGGAGCCACAGTCCTCAGAAACAGGAAGGCTACAATTTTTTTTTAAAACAACAAATAAATATATACATATTTTTGTAAATAAGTATACATTTATTTCTTTTCTTTTTTGTGGGGCTGGAGATCAAGGCCAGGCTTCACAAACGCCAGGCAAATGCTCTGCAGCTAGCTCTCTCCGCCTCCAGCTTCACCACTGACCCAGGGGGCGTCAGTATCCCCAGACCTACATGAACAGGACTAATCTGATTAATAAAATTAATGACGGGATCCACATAATACATAGATAAATGTGTGTGTGTGTGTGTGTGTGTGTGTGTGTGTGTGTGTGTATTTATACATCTCCTCTTTTTTCTGTAGTACTAGGACTGAACCCAGGACCTCCACCCAAGGCCTCCCACATGCCTCTCTACAAGCACTCTGCCACTGAGCCACAACCCCAGCCTTTTGTTTTTCTTTTGATACAGGGTCTAAGTTACTCAGGCTGGCCTCAAACTTGGGATCCTCCTGCCTTAGTCTCCTGAATCACTAGAATGACAGGGACCTAGTTTCTATTCTTTTTTTTTTTTTTAATTAAAAAAAATTTACATGGACACAATATCTTTATTTTGCTTATTTTTTTAAAAAAATTTGGTGCTGAGGATGGAACCCAGTGCCCTACACGTGTGAGGCAAGTGCTCTGCCACTGAGCCACAACCCCTGCCCCTCTATTCTTTTTCTTAATAAATGTAAGCAGAAAATTTTATATTCTGAGAATCTTTTCAAAACACATACTTGCTCCAGCCACAGTAGCCTGTAATCACAGCTACTTGGGTGTTCTTTATAAAATAAAGAGCTGGGGAATGTAGCTCAGCAGCCCTGGTTTCAATCCCCAATACTAAAAAATAAAAAATCATGAAAAAAACAAAACACATTGAGTTTTATCAATAAATCCTTCAATATTTGGTTTAGAGTTCATTTAACTCTACTATTATTTTTTTCAATGCATTTCTTTGGTTTTTCTCTGCACCTCTTTCTTTAATGCAGATTTTTCCTACTAAACTCATTCAATTCTGTATACTTTTTTGTGGGGAGTACAGGGGATTGAATCTAGAGGTGCTTTATCACTGAGTTACATTCCCAAACCTTTTTTAAAAAAATATTTATTTATTTATGCATCTTTAGTTTTAGGTGGATACATTAGTTTGTCATTAGTTTGTTTTTAATGTGGTGCCGAGGATCAGTGCTGCATGCATGCTAGGCGAGCACTCTTACCACTGAGCCACCACCCCAGCCCCCAAACTTTTTTTTTTAAATACATTTTTATTTGTAGATGGACACAATATCTTTATTTTTTATTTTCTTTCTTTCTTTTTTCTTTTTTYTTTTTTTTTTTTGTGGTGCTGGGGATTGAACCCAGGGACTTATGCATGCAAGGCAAGCACTCTACCAACAGAGCTATATCCCCAGCCCTTTATTTTTTCTTTAGTGATGCTGAGGATTGAACTCAGTGCCTCACATTCCCAGACTTTTTAATTTTCATTTTGAGACCGGGTCTCACTAAGTCACTCAGGGTCTTGCTAGATTGCTGAGGCTGGCCTCCCACTGGCTATCCTCCTACCTCAGCCTCCTGAGTCACTGGGATTACCGGAGTGCACTACCCACCTGTATATACTTCTCTCTCTGCACCATATTTTGAATATCAAAAATATTCAATCCTTTGCACTACCCCCTTGTTTTCTATTTTTTAAAATTGTAGTGGACACAATACCTTTACTTGTTCATTTTTATATGGTGCTAGGGATTGAATCCAGTGTTTCACGCATGCTAGGCAAGAGCTTGTTTTCTATTTTTATCTTTGATCTCTAAATTGCTTTAATATTAAATTAATACTATCAGTACAAAACTAAGTTGAAAGATAATTTTAATGTTTCCTAGTTTTTTTTAAAAAGGCTGTTTAATGTCATTAATTATTAACATAGTACATCAGAGTTCAATGTTTCTAGGGTTTTTTGTGTGCATGTGGTACTGGAGATTGAACCCAGGGCCTTGAACATGGTGGGTAAGTACTCTATCATTGAGCTGACTCCTCAACCCCTTTTTTTTTTTTTTAATTTTGAGACAGGCTTGAACTTGTGATTCTTCTGTCTCAAACTCCTGAGTAGGTGGGATTACAGATTGTGCCACTGTGCCTGGCTCCTGGCTTGACACAGTACTGGGGATTGAACCAAGGGGCACTTTAACACTGAACTACATCCCAGACCTTTTATTTTGAGTCAGGGTCACACTAAGTTGCTGAGGCTTTCCTCAAATTGCAAGCCTCCTGGGGGCTGGGGCTGTGGCTCAGTGGTAGTGAGCTCGCCTAGCATGCATGAGGCACTGGGTTCGGTCCTCAGCACCACATAAAAACAAAATAATGTGTCCGCCTAAAACTAAATGTTTAAAAAAAAAAAAATTGCAAGCCTCCTGCTTCAGACTTATGAGTCACTGGGATTACAGGCATGTACCACCACCCAGTCAAGCTTCTGGTTTAGATTCGTAAATATTATTTCCTTTTAGTTTAGGAAATGACAAGAGTTTTTTTCCCCCTACTGTGGTAAAAAACATAATATGAAATTTATCATCTTAACCCTTTTCAAGTATGCAGTTGTAATAATACAATATAGGTCACTTTTATTTATGTTAAGTTTATTTTTGCCCAGGGCCTCCTATGCATGTGAGGCAAGTACTTTACCCCTGAGCTACATCCCTAGTCTTAGGTAATTTGTTTTTTAATATTTATTTTTTAGTTGTAGTTGGACACATACTTTATTTTATTTTTATGTGGTGATGAGGATTGAACCCAGGGCCTCGAACATGCTAGGCAAACACTCTGCAGCTGAGCCACAACCCCAGCCCCCCTAGGTAATTTTAACTCACCAAAAAAAAACCAAACCAAGGCTGTGGCTGTGGCTCAGTGGTAGAGCATTCGCCTAGCATGGGTGAAGCATTGGGTTCRATCCTCAGCACCTTAGCACCACATAAAGATAAATAAATAAAGGTACTGTTGTCCATCTACAACTAAAAAAAAAAAAGAAAAAAAATCAAACCATTAATCCCTCAGATTTTTTTAAATCCCAAAGCAATCTCCAACAGATGTATTATTTTGAGTGCCAAGAAGGTGAGGCCTCTGCAGTGGGGACCTATTTAGCAGACCTGTCTGATTCAGGGGGACTGGGTAGGAAGGCCGATTCCTGGAGATCATCTCTAAACAGTGAATAGAGACAAGGGAAGTAAGTTTGCCCAGGGGTCAGGGACGGTGGGAGATACAGGAAAAATACCTGCACTTCCAACTTGCTGTTGTTACATTTTTCAAATGGCTGGTCAAGTCAAATGTCCACTCAATGTTTGGGGGTCTATACAGGGGATTCATGGTTAACCTCAGACAGGGTTATGGTTATGCAAATCCAAGTCCCTGGTTCCTGCTGACTCAATGAGGAAGGCCCTCAAAAGTTCCTTGTACCCTTTTATGACTGTCATAAAATCAGATATCCCCAGTCATGCCAGGCCAGTGCCCAGGGTAGTAAACCCCAAAGCCTTTGACAGGCTCCTAAGAAACCAGGAACCTGGATCCACCAGGACCCGGAGACACTTCTGTGTTGAAGAAGGATGGGGGTACAATCCAGACTGGGGCCCTGCTTCCTTCCCAGGTGCTTCCAGGCTCACAGCCTGTTCTGGATGTCAGAAGCCTTCCACTGCAACACACCTGGGCCTTACCCAGGGCCTTGGAGCAGGGTTTGGTGGGAACAGAGCACCAGGGCTCGCTGTGCCCTGAGCCACCGCTGGCTGCCTCACTGCCAGGCACCAGAAGATGGTGAAGGAAGAAACAAACAGATGAAGAGATGCCAGTCCAGATGGGACAGAGGGAAGTGCAGGTTTGCTGAGTCCGAAGTTGGGAAATCCAAACACAGAAGCTGAAGGCAGGGTTTGTGCAGCATGGGGGAATAGGGGCTCCCAGAGCATATCCTGGCAAGGTACTCAGAGAGAAGCAATACTAATAATCACTTTTTTGGGGGACCAGGGATTAAACTCAGGGGCACTCAACCACTGAGTCACACCCTGAGCCCTACTTTGTATTTTATTTAGAGACAGGGTCTCACTGAGTTGCTTAGGGCCTCCCTAAGTTGCTGAGGCTGGCTTTGAACTCATGATCCTCCTGCCTCAGCCTCCGGAGCTGCTGGGATTGCAGGCATGCACCACTGCACCTGGACTAATAATCACTTTTATCACTGAGCGCTCACTGGGTATCAGGGACGTCAGAGTGCTCTATACATAGTAGCTTATTTAATTGTCACAACAGCCTCAGAAGGTAGGTCTTATTACCTACTGGTACCTCACTGTAGGAAGAATCTAAAATAAGTGGCAAAGTGCATTTAAACCTCAGGAGCCCTGCTCTTAAGCTATCCTGGACCACACGTGTTTGATGGGGCATCACCTCCAGCAAAGACATTCCACCTACAGGGAAAGGCCCAGATTCAACTTGCAGCTTTGCCACTTATTAGCTGTATGACCTTGGATGATCTCAGAGTTCTCTCTGAATCTCAGTTTCTTCCTAAGGTGAACAAAGTGGGAAAAAGATAATGTGTATAAGCACTTGGTATAGAGACTGGCACAGAATCAAGCTCAAAAGCAGTAGCTGCTAACATCATGACCTGGGCTGATAAAGTGACCATGGGAGCAGGCTGGCCAGACAGGGGAGGGGACCTATGTGTTGGGGCAGCACCAAGGCTTAGAAAGCTAAGTCTCGGCACTCAGCAGGCTCTGTGCCACGAGACTTCAGGCTGTCCCAGATGCCAGGCTCCATGCCAGGTACCAGGGCATGG